CATTGAGAAAACACTGTGCTATAGTACGGATCTTGTGTGCCACAAAGGCACATATGGTAAAGGCTTGGTCTCCAGCATGATGCTACTGGGAGAAATTTTAAGAAGGAGGCCTAGCAGGGAGTCTTCTGATTACTGGCAGTGCACCCTTGAAAAGGAGAGTGGAAATAGAAAGATATTCCTTGTTCCTAGATAAGCAGAATGAATATTAGCTACAAGGCCACACTCCAAAAACTGATATATACATTTAAAACACCAATAGTATTCCTCACAGAAGTTAAAAAATAAGACGAAACTCCTGAAATTTATATGGAACCAGAAGAGACACAGAATATCAAAAGGAACCCTGGTCAACAAAACAAGGTAGGAAGCATCACACTCCCAGATTTCACATAATATTACAAAGTTACAGAGATAAAAATGGATGGCATTGGCATAAAAACAGACACACACATCCATAGAACAAAATAGAGGATTTAGAAACAACTCCAGGCACATTCAATTCTCTGATCTTTGATAAGGGGGCCAAAAGCATATGCTGAAGTAAAGATGGCCTTTTAACAGAAATAACTGGTTACATACAAGCAGAAGATTGAATCTAGACCTATATGTACCACCATGTACCAAAATAAAATCACAATGGATCCAAGACCTAAATATTAATGCACAAACAACCTGTTGGGAAAAATGGGTAAAATTCTTGAAGACATAGGCATAAGTAATGGCTTTCTAAACAGAATGAACCCTAATTTCCCAAGAAATAGCACCAAGAATCAATAAATTGGATTATATCAAATTAGAAAACTTCTGCACAGCAAAGAAAACAAGCAATAGAGTGAAGAGACAACCCATGAAATAGGAAAAAAGTCTCTGTCAGCTACTCCTCTGACAGAAGACTAATATCTAGACTATATAAAGAAATAAAATCAGATTCCACAAAATAAAAGACCCAATTAAAAAACTGGACAACTGAAATAAATACTTCTCAAAAGAAGTACAAATGGCCAATAAGGACATGAAAAAATGTTCAACCTCTCTAGCCATCAGAGAACTGCAAATTAAAACAATATCAGATTCCATCTTACTCAAGGAAGAATGACCAACATCAAATCAAACAATAACAAATGCTGACAAGGCTTTGGGGAAAAAGCAATATTTCTACATTGTTGGTGGGAATGTAAACCAGCACAACCACTACAGAAATCAGTATGGAGATTCCTCAGAAAGTAAAAATAGAAATTTCATTTGGCCAAGTTTATCTTCCCAAAGGAGTTAAAGGCATCATGTTAGTGATACACCAATACCCAGGTTTACAGCAGCACATCTCATAAAAGCTGTATCTCGGAAGTGGCCTATATGTCCCTCAACAGATGAATTTTTTTAAAAAGGTGATATTTATACACAGTAGAGTACTAATCTGCTATGAAAAGGTTAAATTTGAGTCATTTGTAGAAAAATGTATGCACGATTTATTTCATTTAACACACCATATGTTAGATGAAATAAATCAGATACACAAGCTCAAATATCACATGGTTTTTCTTATATAAGTGTTATGGTTTGGTTCTGGATGTCCCTCCAAAGCCTCATGCAGTCATGGGGCAGGCTTCTAGAGCTTATGATTGATTCATGGTCCAGTGCTGGAATTATGGGTATGAGTGCTACACCTGCCCTGGGGAAGATAGTTTGCATACAATGTAAGGGAAAGAGACTGCTTGCCACTGCTCCCTGCTTTTGCTCTTGCTTCTTTTGCTGTCTTCAGCCAGGAGCTGCTGCCCTCTGCCATGTGTCACTCTGCCCTGCAGCCAGCCAAGTATGGTCTGAAATCTCCCCAAACTGTGAGCCAAATAAACCTTTCCTTCCTTAATTCTGGGTGTCACGTATTTTGTCTCAACAACGAGAGAAAAATAACCAAAATGAGAAGCCTAAAGTCTAAATAATCTAAAAAGCAAAATAAAGGAGAAGACAATAGGAAACAGGGAGTTAGATCTTTTGTAATGGTAAACAGGATCTAGAGATGGAGGGAAGGGAATGTGGGGGGGAAGAAGGGAGGGAAAGGTAAGTAAAAAGAATTAAGATTCATTATGTACATGCACCAACTCCCTATGATCATTATGCACTGTAAACATGTACCAATAAAAAAGGAATAATGGGACCCAGCCTCCCAGATTCTGTTTTATTCCCTGCCTAATGGTGAGCTTTGCTCCTTCATATGTTCCCACCTTGAAGTGCTGTCCTGATACAGGAATAAAAGCAATGACATCAACCAATCATGGACTAAAAACCCCAAAACTGTGAGCCATAATGAACTTTTCTATTTATAAAATGATGTTTCATACATTTGTTACAGTGATGGAAAGTTAACCTATACTGTTACAAAAACTGTGTTACAGCACCTGGTATGTAGTGAGAACTCAAGTGTTAGTTATGGTGTTAACCATCTTTACGTAAATGCCAGGAGTGTTTCTGGGGGAAAAAAGTCAGATTCAGCCCATATAATGACAATATTTTGATAAACGTTTATGAGGCATCTACAAAGAGCAAGATGTGTTCTGAGTGCCTAGTTGGACTAGGTGGGCCCAAAGTAGGTTTCTTCTGTAAGTTCAGGTGTGAGGACCAAGCTACCTGACCATTACTATAGCCATACACTATCGGCTGCATTGGGTCTCTAGCCTTTGAATTACACCACTACAGCCATACACTATCGGCTGCACTGGGTCTCTAGCCTTTGAGGTTGAACTGAATTACACCACTGGCTTTCCTTGGTCTCCAGCTTGCTGATAACATATTGTGGGACTTTTCAGTCTCCATAATCATGTGAGTCAATAATCCCCTCTTATAAATCTGCATAGAGTCTATTGGTTCTGTTTCTCTCAGAGCCCTAACTAAATATTAGACAAGTTTCTTAATATTATAAGCCACTTTTAGTTGTAAAAACAGATATTTTCAAAGAATAGCAGCAATAGGAAGCATTAAAATATGAGCTCACCTGGGCATAGATTTTGCCCCTTGGAAGTTATTATAGCTTATACAGTTTTTCTCCTCTGTAGTACTCTTAGTTCTGTGGCAGCAAGTTGTTGCAGGAAGGTAAAAAACCCACACAGACAACTTGTTTGCTAGCTCCATCTTTAATTTTGTCATTTCTATTTTCAAAATAGGGTTCTTCTGAAAAGGCTGGGAGAGCTTTGGAAGAAATACACCCAAAGATGGTCCAGGACTGTGGATATTCTATTTCAAGAAAAGACCCAAAAGGTAAAATATTTCCTTTTTCCATGGGCCAGGGCAGCTCCAAGAATCCTCAAGAGGAACTTTTAATTTGTATTCTATGATATGGTATTCTATAGATCTAGGTCTGTTCTATTACAAGGATCACTCTACTTTCTTCTCTCAAGTACCGTCAGCAAAATTTTTTTTGCCTAACATCCCAGTTATATATGTGTGACCATGGTAGCAAACTCTTACAAGCAATTTCCATTACAAAATCAATCTCACTATCAGGTCCTGGTGCATAGTCAGGATCATCATTTTCATATTCAACTGCAGGAAATGAAAGTACACAGAGGCTAGGTTTTAGAGTGACTTGTTACTGCATACAGACTGAGGTAGAAGGGAGATGAGCAGCTTCCCCTCATACTGGATGTGTCAGGTCTCAACACTATTTCATCTGTCAGAATGCACTTTGAAGTTTCTGTAGTAAATATAAAAGACAGAACTCAGGAAGTACCTCTGTAATTTTGAGGGGGCACAAGTGACCAAAGTTGGCTGAATCTATATTTAAAATAGGTAGTTGTTGGCTGACTTGCTGATATAAATGAAATCAGTAGTTCAGGCCTTGTATTTCCAAACCCACTTTCATAACCACAATGCTTGCAGGCTTGAACATGCTTCCTCTCAGCTTTGTGCAAATGAAAAAACAAAACCAACAAGAAAACCGAAAAAAAAAAAAAAAAAAAAAGAAAAAAAACACCCAAAACACTACTCTTCTCATAGAGTAGAGGTTCTACTCCTGGATTTGCTTCTTATTGTATGAGCTAATTGTGCTTGCTGAGCTTCACTTTCTGCATATGAGAATGGCATTTCCTCTCCTATATATTCCACAGGAGTTTGGTGAGACTAAACTGAGATGAAAGCAAAAAGGAACATAATTTAGGGACCTGGACTCTTTTACAATGGACGAATCAAGTTGAAATAATGAAATGCATTCAGAAGAGGGTATCCTGTATATATCAATTAAAAAAAATCAAACAAATATTCGCTGGAATGATCAGTGTGATCCCTGGAGAAACAAGCAGTTTAAATACATTAGGGCAGGTGATATCTCAATAATAGAGGAACTATATATAATAACCAACCTGTTCTTAAAAGATCTGTTATGGTTAAGATTTAGAAAGTCCCCCAAAGCCTCATGTGTTCAGAGATGTTTTAGAAGGTGATTACATCCTAGGGTGCTATACTCATCAACAGATTCATCCGCTGATCAATCCATAGCTAAATCTGTTCTCAGGAGGTTGGACGTGGTTGGGGGTTGGCCGCCGGAGGTGTGACATGGAAGGGTATATTCTCGTCCCAGGCTCTTCTTTCCCTCTCTGGCTTGCTGGCCTGCATGACATGAGCAGCTCTCCTCTGCCAGACCCTTCTACTGTGCCTCTCCTGCCTCGGACCAGTTGGCTATGGACTGAAACGTCTGGAAACCATGAGCCAAAATAAACTATTCTTTTAAGCTGTGGACACCAGATATTTTCGTTCCACTGAAGGGAACGTGACTAAGACAAGACCTGAATACCAGTTGGATCAAATGACATCCCGTGCATTTTAAATCCAAGACTTCAATGTACTGCTTTTAAAAAGGGTTGGGATAGATAAAGTCAAGACCTGTTAAAAGTACTCAAGGAAGGAAACACATCATATCCCATTTCCCAAGTTACTGCTTACTTCAGTCACATCTGTGCAGATATATTCAGATCAGAGAGCATGCCTCAAATCACTGGGGATTCACACAGCTATGCCTTCTTCAGTATTTTTTATTTTCTGATCATATTTCATTGATGAGATTAGGAACATTATTTGAACACTATAAAGCCTCATTCATCAAATGAAGCCAATAATCAGCTAGAAAATTAAATGATTAAACATCCTCAAACTCTGTGTGTGTGTGTGTGTGTGTGCGCGCGCGCGTGTGTGTGTGCAGAAACTGGAGAAAGTTACCTTTATTACTGTGTCCAGACTGCAAAATACAGATCCTTTTGTGATTAGCTTCCTATAGAATCCCCACCAATTTCTTCACCTCTTGGATCACAGGATATGCTAATTCTTTGGCTTTTACTGATCCAGTGTGTAAAACTTTCTCTAAATAGTCCTTGTCCATCTTCAGTTTTTCAATTTCACTCTTAATTGGAGCAAATTTCTCAATCACAGCATCTGCTACCACCCGCTTGTAGTGGGCAGTGTCCATGCCCACGCTGCGGTGGACCACTTCCTCCACTGTGAGTCCTGTTACTGCAGCATGGATTGCCACCAGGTTGGAGACGCCCCCTCGTCTAGCAGGGTCATAGGTGACCTCAGAGGTGAAGTCTGTTACAGCCTTGCGGAATTTGCTCACTATGTCCTCTGGGCTGTCTGTTATCCAGACAGTGGCCAGTTTGTCCGGGTCTGATTTTGACATTTTGGCAGAAGGATCACGGAGGGATTTCACCTTCTTCATAGGTGCTGGGTAAAACACCAACACACATGCAAAAAACCAAAACAAAACAAACAAATTACCAGGAATATCACTGTGTAGCTCTTGAAAACACCAAGAAAACCAAATAATTATTATTTTTATCTGATTATAAAAATAACATGTTCATTGTGAAAAGCTCAATGTATGAAAGACCATCCAAGTCACATGATAACATTAATAGTCTGATATTTTCAAAGCATCTTTTAATGTACATAGCCACATAACATGTAAAATCTTACACAAATAAAATTGTGTCAATCATTCTTTTGCTATGTACATCTTTTAAAATATTCTTCTTCCTCTCTGCTCTACTCTATTAGTAATCATTCTCTGTCCTTCCTGCCTTCTTCTCCCCAACTAATTTTAACAAACTGTGGCAATCCTTCCATTTTCTCACCTAAAATTATGTAAATTTTACACACACACACACACGTGACATGTTTATTGCTCTGATAGAATCAAGATGTTAATTTGTGCTTCTTAAACCAGTGTTATTATTATTAGTCACTGCCTATTTTATGGCTACTTTAGAAACATAAAATTGAAATAAGTAAAATAATAATAAGTCAAAACACTAAAATCTTATTTATTGCTAAAAGAAGGTTATTTAAATGTATGGAGTAATCTGGATTTATTGATGTGAGTTACTGGGCTAAATGCATTTATACTGGATTTATGTTTTTAATTGATACTAGGCACATATTAACCTCCTTTAAAATGCTGTCAGCTTAATAAAGATGGACAGTGCTCAGGCTCAATGATCTCTGCCCCTGCCACAGGTTTACAATGCCATCAAAATGCTAATACAGATTTATGGCATCTGTCCTGAAGAAGTTACCCAGAGTAGCAACGTGTCAAAAGGCTGAGGCTCATAGCTCAGATCCAATAGGTGCATTACACATTCCATCTCTCTGTCTCCATTTAGGAAGAAAGAGTGCGAGGATAACTGATTCCCTCTTGTTTTTATCTAGATCATAATTCAGCAGTTCTCACTCTTATGACTTACTTTATTGTATTTAGGAAAACAAGATACACAGAAGAGGTCAGTGTAGGGCCCAATTCTGATGTTAAATAAACACACACTGGGACACAAACTGAGCTTTGCCAAGCCTTTGTTTCTTTATCTATTTTTTAGGGAAAGATATCTGTTCCACCAGATAAAGTCCTATACATATAGTTATATTATATATAACAGGCATATTATATTAGGCATATATATGTATATGTCATATATTATATATGGAATATATAATAAGCAGATTTCTATATATTTCTATATATGTTATATAATATACATATTATGTTTGCCTAATTATAACATATTTACATAATTATATAATATCTTACATATTAAAACTATTCTTAATATTTAGGTTCTTTCGTGCTAACTAAACAGTTTTAATTATCTTTTTCAACAACTCAGTGCAGTCTAGTAGTCCTACGTAACAAAATGATGAGGATTCTAGTTATAAATCCTTAACCCTGTCTCTGAGAAAGTCCTCTCTTCAAAACGTGGTATGATTTAATGATTTAACAATCTCATTTGCTACTTACTTAGAATGGACTGAGGCACTGGAAAGAACTGCCCATACTTCTTGTTGAAACCTTGTGCAAGATCTTGAACTAGTTCCATGTGCTGGACTTGATCTTCTCCAACAGGAACGTGTGTGGACCTTTAATAATAGACAGACAGGAAAGCTCAGCCAGGCTCCTTCTTAGAAAGAAAGGTATTGTAAGCAGCTATACTTCCTGTGCCTACTTCACCGCGGATATTCAACAAATGTTCACCAACTACAGAGGAGACATTGAGACCCAAGTCTTTATGTGTGTATCACACTAACAGTGAAGAGCTGTTTGTCTATTCTTCCATAACAGACAAATATAGCCATGGATGCCAGTGTGACAGGATCTTGCTGGGAGGGATGACTGGGATCCTCAATAGCATATGCTGCCCATATAATTGTATTTTAAAGCCACCTTGTTCTGTCACCCAGTCAGGGAATATTATTCCAGGCTCATTCAGATGCTTTTTTGGGGGGCTGGGGATTTAGCTCAGCAGCACAGCGCCTGCCTGGCAAGTGCAACGTTGTGAGTTCGATTCCTGGTACCAGAAAAAACAAACAAAAAACAAAAAACAAAAAACAGAAAAGAAAAAAACAAAAAAACAAAAAAAAAATCAGATGCTTTTTTTTGGAGCTGTGGCTTACACTTGAAAGACACTGCCCCCCCAACTTGAAATCAAAAATGGCAGAAAGCTCTTTAGGCAAGAAGTTTTCCACCCTCGCCCATAGGGAATAATTCAAGATCTTTTTGGAATATACTTCATTTTCAAGAAAACTGCAACCACAGGACAATTAACATGCTGTAGGGAAACTAAATGATCAAAATCTATAAGCATAATGTAACTGGATCTTAAAAACACTGTGGAATAAAGAGAGTAAGTTGGTATAAAAATTTAAGGGAATGGAAACATCTCAAATCTATGATCATAGCTGCTTCTAGAGAAAGACACTAAGGAACAAATCTGAATTTTATCTGTAATATTTTATTTTATCAAGAATGTGAGAAACAAAAACTCAGAATATAATAGGGAATTTACTTACAAGTATTTTAATTCCATATATGAAGTTTGCTGGGTCAGATCATGATGCGCTATGTCAAATAACAGAATTAAGTATTATAAAGAAAGCTTGATGGGGAAAACTTTGTACTGAAGTGTTAGTGTGCGTAGATCCAGGTGATTTTAAGTACATATTTAATATCTTGGCTTGCGAGTTTATATTTGATAATACAGCTAATAAGTGGCCATAATTCCTTGATCAAACAAATTTAATATTGCTCCTGTGAAAGAAGCAGTTAAGTTGCCACTTCAAGTTTCTTACCCTAAGTCTTCACTTCCACAGTGAAAGGGATCATAATGGTGCTGATCATATACAGCAGTTTCAAAGATTAAAAAGACAGTAATTGATAGAGCTCAATAAACACTAGCTACTGATATATATTCCTTTATATCTGAAATAATAAAGGAAAAATGGTGAAATATACTATTAGGGATCTTGATGCTGAGTACACTGTGACTTTTTTCAAATGAGAAAATTTTCCTTCTTGATAGCTGACTCACACAAATACCAACACAAAACCTGAGAGGTGATCACAGTGCTGGGCAGCAGCTCTGACATGGGTACAAAGTGTACTTGAAAGTGAAAATTCACATACTCGATCAGGTGACCCTAAAATATGAACAGAATGTTATGGGAATTCTGAGAACTCTTTTAAAACAAGGGATGAAAAGAAAAAAAATGCATGGACAAAGACTGCAATGGGAAAGGCTTTCTTCTCTCTGAAAGTAAATAAATACTAAAAAAAATTTTACAAAATGATTGTGAGCGCCATATCTACACAGCCCAGTGCAGAAAGTCACTGGCTAATAAATGATAAAAACAAAAATGCTCCTTGTTTTCTCCCTTCAGCACCTTGCAAAGGACTGGGCAGCGCACCTCTCTGAGGCGTACGTGCATAAGTCTTACCTTTGTAAGTTTCTACTTTGGCTGGACCTTGCCATTCCCATCTGGTAATTATAATGAGCGGACACGCAAGGACCATTTTGACTGCCCCAAACCAAATTAGCCAACAGAGCAGGTTAAAAAGCAATTACAGTAGCCCATAGGAAATCACAATGGACTGCAACTAACACAGAAAAAACAATTACCATAATCAATACACTTTAAGCACATCAAAATGAATATTTCCACATGTCAAAATGGTTCCAGATTCACAAAGCAACCAAACTAAACAGAAAACACATTTAGTTTTCATAATGACGCTATGGATATCTCGCCTTATGTGGGATTCTTGCCTTTTTTCTTATAGTTCTGTAGGGTTTTGATTTCTGAAAAAAGGATTAAAAAATTTTAATGTTTTTCACCTGGTCTTATTGCTTCACATGGTTTTTGCATCTGACTTTTGTTGTTTGTTTCGGGGCTTTCCTCCCTCTGCTCCTGCTGCTCCTTTCACCTCCTGTAATTTATTTTGGCGTTTACTTCTCATCCACTGAGTTTACACTCTATATTAATTCAGCCTGTCTTTGATTCTACTTACTTATGGGGTTATTCTTTTCACGTTTTCAACCTCTCTCCTCATAGTCTTCCTTTCACTTCAAATAATTTAGCGCTGTTCTTTAAAAATTTATGCCCAACATAATGATATCCATATTAATATGTCTACTCTTTTTTTCCTCTTACCCTGACTGTGCTTTCTGAGGTACAACATAAAGCAAAAATCTGTCATAATTTTGATTGTTATAACTTCTGTCACATAATAATGCGTCTGATCTTTTTCTTTGGTGACTAAATCATTTTTCTTTCACTTAGCTTCTTATTGCATCTAGTTTACTTGGGATCTACCCTACCCCTCTGGCAGAATTAGTGTCCAGATGAATAATCATTGCCTACAAATATCTGCTTGCAGAGATTGATTTTTTTTTTTTTCCTCTCCCTACTTCCTTGGCTGTGTTTATGAGTTTTCAGCACTGCTGCCTTTACCCAGTGTAGGCAGGACAGGAGTCTGGTGTGTCTTTCCTGTCACAGAGCATTGATCCCACACCACTGCTTACTTGTTGGATATGCTGTAATGAGTCCAGCTTAGTAATCATTTATTGAAAGCACACAAGGTGAAAGGCCCTGTGTTGGGTGCTGTGAGAGATATTATGAAGTTTTTACTTTCTTCAGGAGAAGATACTGAATGGAGCTATAAATTCCTTTCACTATTCCTCTTCTTGTGTCCCTCATCTCAGTGTATGGCAACACCATAAATCCAGCTGCATGAGAAAAGTGTTCTCATTGCTGACATCCCACTCTTGTACGTATCAAGGTCTCTATGGAGTCCTATCAGTTCAGTCTCCCCAAAGTCTCTTAGATTTGCTTGCTTCTTGCCCTCTTCATTGGCACAATCATGGTCCAAATTAGTGCAATAGCCTTTGAATAGATTGTCCAGCTACTCTTCTTCTCCTATAACAAGAGCTTTTGCAATCAGTTAGCTTTTGAAAAGTGTAAGTCATATCCAATTTACTTTGTCCTTAAAATGCACACATAGTTTCCCACTACTTTTTGGTGAGTGAACTGGATTGTTGGACATCTTAGCCCAATTCTCTCCCTTCTGTGCTGTCTTCTGGTTTTCAGGGGCTAGCAGTCTGAGAAATACATATCCCAGATGGCATTTCAGGAGAAGTTTGGTTTAAGTGTGGTACTTGCCCAATACCAAGAAAGAAGAAATGATTTCTGAGGCAGTGTGAGCATATCCGTAGGTAGCTGGCAGGGTCGAGAAACAAGGTTCAGGCAGTAGCTTTCACGATCTCATAGAATTCAAATTCCTCAAAGAGTGGAAGCAGTTCAGGAACGGGAAGTCTCCAGAGCAGTGTCAGGAACTTTAAACATTTAATATCAGCCCTTGCAGAGCTTACCTTTAGTGGTAGCAGTCTGATCCACAGACATTACAATGACTCATCTCTACTTTTACTCTACCAGTCAGAAGTCTAGGACCAATCATTTTACTCTCTATATTCTTTGTTTTAGGGTTTGGTTTGTGTTACAGTTTGGATCTTAAGTGTGCCCCCAACATGCATTGAAAGGTTGGTTGCCATCTGGTGATGCTACTGAGAAGAGGGAGAGCCTTTTGGCAGTGAGCCTGGAGCAAGGCAGTCAGGTCACGGGGGCACGCCCTTGAGGGGGGCAGTAGGACCTGACCCCTCACTCTCTTACCTCCTGGCCGAAATGAGGTGAAAAGCTTTGCTCCCCTATATAATCTGCCACGATGTAATTCCTCATCACAGCCCAAAGTCAGGGGGCCAAGAGACCACAGGGTGAATCTTCTAAACAATGAGCAAAAATAAACTTTCTTTCTGTTAAATTGATTTACTTCATGTATTCTGTCACATTCCTGGAAATGTGACTAACACAGCTGGGTATTTACTTATTCACAGTTTCTTGAGGTGAGGCCTCTGTTTCTTCATTTTCCTACACCATTTCAGATCTTGCTTTCATAATCTTCTTATCCTCGTCTTCTACTTTCTTTTCAAATTTTTGAGGACAATAACCTGATTAGTTGAAGCAATCATGCTCATCTCTATTTGAGTAAATTTAGCAGTTTCTCCCTGACAGGTGATTTATCTGTAAAATGGGGATAATACCACCTTACCTGTGTTACAGAGCTACTGTGAGGGCTGACATAGATAATGTATATGTAGCAGCTATTGTGATGCACGGCAAATACTACTCAACACATCATTTATCTTTCCTTTTCTTTCCTTCAAGATCATGGGTAGTATCTTTAACTACAGGTACTGAACAATTACTTGCTAAATACAAATAAAAATTGTGTGTGTGTGTGTGTGTGTGTGTGTGTGTGTGTAAAGAGTGAGAGAAAGAGGAGAGGAGAAAAAGAATTACTTAATATACACCCAGCTACTTGAAATTAGGAATTCAGATGAATAAATAGATACAAAATGAAAGTGAGCATTTGCTATTTTTGAATATTTTATCTTTCTTCAAATATGTTATTTATCATGCTTTCAAGGTAAGGATGGTTTCAGCTTTCTATTCCTGAGTTAATTATCACCTTTTACCAAAACAGTTATACAAACCTTTTGAAGCCTATCTGGAAGGCTCCTTTTCCACTCCTTTCCCTTGTGTTTGTTGCCTGACCAGCCACGCCACTCATTTCAATGCTGATTTTGACAAAAGCAGATATCAAATCTGTATTTGACTTGTATCAACATTTTATGAAAAGGCCACACAGATTTGCCAGTAGAAAAAAAAAAAAAAACACATATATTTCATCTACTTTTCAATCTATCAACCCACTACCTATCTACATTTATAATGTAAATATTTGTAGATATTCTGGTTTTAGCTTTTCCAAAATCCAGAAATATCTGAAACAAACAAAAACAAATAAAAAATACCCCCAAGTGCACAGGTGGATCAGCCTCAGACTAGACAGGAGGGAACTATCAGGTTGTTTCTCTTAAGGAACATTGAGAAGTCTACCTCATGGATGTGTTTAATTGTGGAATTAGATATGGCAGATAATTTCTAGGTTAAGATAGAAGACAGTTTGAATATAGTTTATATTCACTATATAGTTTCATAGAGAATATTTTTATCTCTTTGTTTGAACCAACTGTCTCTATAGTACCAGAATGTTGATGAGGAACTCTACCACTACTATCTTCCTTTTGAAGATAAGAAGTAAAGCATCTTATGGCCTTCTGAGAACATATTCTAACCACCAACTAGATCCGTAAAAATTAAAGAAAGAGTATTTACAGCATGGGAAATTCTTTGCTATGGGAGTTGGCTGGAAGAAAACTGAGGCTGAGAAAGAAATGTGTATACTTGGAAACAGTTAACATTTTTACGTGAGAATCCTGCTGATACTGAAGGGACAGAGAGAACACTTTTAAGGTTTACCTGCCATGCCTGCAATACTTATTGTTCTATATAAGCTAAAAGGACATTTATAACCTCAGGCTCTGCACTAACGAGGGCAGCTACAATACAGTTTGGAGATTTTAAGCTTTTTTTTTGCCAGTGTTAACCTTTTAAAAACTGCCTTCTATTGCCAAAGATTTTTGGATTAACTTTACACTAGGTGTGAGCAACTGATACATAATATGCTTAATAACCTGGGTGGTGTCCCATGAATGTACTTTATGTGTAAGAGAACTACAGCATTTTAACATTATGATAACTGTATTTTAGGGAATTGATAAAAACATATAGTAGTTACCCTTCATCCATGGTTTCAATTTCAATTATCTGGAGTCAATTATGGTTCAAAAATATAAAATTGAAAATTCCAGAAATAAATAATGCATTTAATATGCATGCTGTTCTAAGCAGTGTGATGAAATCCTGCCCTGCCCCGCAGATCTGTGCTGCTCCGCATGTAAAATGTCCCTTTGTCCATAATCGACCTGTTCGCTGCTTGGGCACCATCCAGATTATCAGATCAATTGTTGCAGTGTCACAGCGCTTATGTTCAATAACCCTGATCTTAATATGACCCTAAAGCACAAGGACAGTGATGCTGGCAATTCAGAAATGCCAAAGAGAAACCGAAGGTGAAAAGATGAAAGTTCTTAAGGAAAGTAAAAGAAATCATATGCTGAGTTTGCTAGTATCTATACTAAGAGCACACCTTCTACCTCAGAAATTATGGAAAAAGAAAATGAGATTCGTGCCAATTTTGCCGCCATACTTCAAACTGCAAAAGTTATGGCCCACATATCAGGTGTGTGATTCATTTTGTCATTCACTCCTTTGTTTTTTCCTGTAGGCTTTGTATTACCTCACATCCTCACAAGAATGATATGCACAATATGGTATTTTGAGACAGCTCACATTCCCATAACTTTTATTATAGTATAGTACTATAACTTATTTTATTATTACTGTTTACTGCCTACTATCTGTTCTTTATACATTAAACATGACCCTAGAGATGCATGTGTTACGGTGTGGATACACTTCCTGTACACTTCCATGTGTAAAGGGCTTGGTCTTGGTGCGGTGCTATTGGGAGGTGCTGCAGATCTTGAGGAGGTGGGACCTTATAGTCTGTGATTAAGTCATCAGACCATGCCCATGGAGGGAATTGTAGGACCTCTCTCCTTCTCTTCTCTTGCTTCCATGAGCTGAGCAGCTTGTTTTACCATGTACTTCCTGTCTTTGCCATCTGGCACCCATAGAAGCCCAAAGCAATAAATGTGCCCTATTTGGATAGGAACCTCCAAAACTATGAAGCAAAATAAATCTTTTCTCTTTATAAGTTAATTTTTTTCAGGTCTTTGGTTACAGTGATGGAAAGCTGACTAACACAGTATGTATAGGAAAAAACACGGCATATGTATGGTTCTGTTTGTTTGTTTTTTTTTTTGGTTTTGGTTTTTCTCCGGTACCAGGAACCGAACTCACGACCTTGCGCTTGCCAGGCAGGCGTTTTGCCATTCAGCTAAATCCCCAGCCCCATATGTATGGTTCTGGAATCTCCTGGAGTCCTGGCATGTATCTCTTGCAGAGAAGAGGGAGCTACTGTATTTACTATGTAACACTGTACATGTGATATTGTATTGTTCTGGCTATTTCATGTGATAATTTTGTTTCCTAACATAACCATTGGTTTACCACTAACCTCAGCAGACCACTGAACACGCCCTGATGCTCCTCTGTGTACTGACTAGCCATAGGTGCTTAAGCTCACTGGCTCATATCTGTAAAAGAAAAGAATTGAAGAAGAAGCTCCTGAAAGTTCCTCCCCACTCCATGCTCCATGACAGCATAAAGAGAACATTTGTTTTTGTTAACAGTTACTCTTTCTCACAGTCTTCAACTCAGAGAACTCTCCCATCATAGCTCTTGAACTACTATGGAAATCTGCTATGCCTGTATTTTTTCACATTGTCCTAGTGAAAAGTCTTAGTTTTTGGTTCCCTAAAGAAGTAGCTTTAAAACTCAGAATTACACATAAAGTGGCAATCATGAAAGACGTAATTATTATCAATCATAAAAAAGTAACAGTTCCCAGAAATAGCACTTCTTGACCTAATTTCATTTTAATTCTAATAATCTCATATGGAATAATTATTCCTATTTTACAACTATGAAAATCAGTTTTTTTTATAGAATTCTTAAAGTAAATATATTCCTCTCTGAGGAAATGTATTATTAGCTTTCTTTTGTTATTTATTAGAGAAAAATATTCTACACTTCCCAGGAGAAGTCAAAAGTCTTCTTAGAAATGTTAAGTAGTATCAAGAGTCCAGTATTTAAATTAATGTAACAGGGGCATAACCCCTACATCCGTTTTAATCAGAATTAAAGCTACGCCTCACGTACTTATGCTTAGCCCCAATTTGCACAGTTAAGCAGCTATTCTTCCAGTTGTTTTCATCACAACTGCCCAAGGGTTTTGGATCCTACAGTGAAATACAGATACTGTCACTTCCATAGTATTACTAGGTTAACATGCAAAGAATTCTAATTCTCCTGGCCTTAATGGAAAGGGGTGAGGTGAAAACACATTCCTGGAGTCCTAGTCCCTCTGCCCTCACTCCATGCTTTCACAGAAAGGAGGCCAAGGCTGTAAGTGCACACTGACTGGGAGATTTCATCTCCAGAAAGTAATATGGGGTCAAGGGAGACACAGGAGGGGAGAGCAGGGAAGAATTAGAAATGGATGAGATCAGAAGGCCAGGGCAGCACAATGGAGTGCAGGGGTGGGTGTTCTTTGTTGTGTATTTCAGAGGCCCACAAGCAATAGCCAAATGGATAGATTATGGATCCATGAAACATAAGGAGTTACTGTATATACTGTTCAAAAATTTATTCTCAACCTGTAGGTCTAATACAGCAGTCACTAGCTTTAGGTGTGTCTTTACATTTAAATTAATTAAAGTTAAGTAATTTTTTTTTTTTTATTTGAGAAAGGGTCTCGCTATGTGGTTCAGGCTGGCCTTGAACTTACTATGTAGCCCAGGCTGGCCTCGAACTTGCAGCGATCCTCCTGCCTCAGCCTCCTGAGTGCTGGGATTATAGGTGTGCACCACCATGTCCAGCTGTGAAAGTTGAATAAAAATTTAATGCTTAGGCTTTAGTAACACAGTCAGAGAGGAACTATAACACTAACAACATTCCACAGCCTCGATAGCTACATGTGGCTGGTGGTGACAGTGTTAGAAAGCACAGATGTAAAACACTTCCATATCATAGCAAATCCTACGGAACAACATTGTTTTACAATCCATATTATGCAAGAAATTAACATTTGTAACTCTTGAAGTTTAATTGTTACTAGGGAAATATATATGGAACAGTATGAAAAAATACAGGTTGAATAGAAAAATAATCTGCATAGATAAGAAATATATACGGCATAGTGCTTGAGAGCACAGGCTGAGGAAGTATACATGGCATAGTGCTTAAGTGTACAGAAACTTTGTACTCAGACTTCTGGGATTCAAATCCTGGCTCTAAGTTCTGCACCATACATGACTCTGGGCCCAGAATTAACCACTCTCTGCCTCAGTTTCCTTGTCTGTAGAACAGGGATGATAACAGTGTAAATTTTACAAGGCTGTTGTCAGGATTAATATATATAAAGCTTTCACAACATTTGAAATACACATTATGTGATACTGAAGTGTTAGCTCTTCATGTTACCATTTTCTCACTGAAGCATACTTCTATGATTTAGTTCCTATCACTAAGGAATAGACAAACCGATTCACAGGTCTGATCTTTTCTGTGTCTCCCCGCTTCTGCATGGACCAAGCCTTTGTTTTATGAGTTAAAACACTCTCTTGTCATCACAAGGATGTGTAAGACCAGAGGTGGCCTTTCTTCTTACTTGTAGGATAGAATGTCGGCTGCCTGGAGTACTGGGTATGTGAGCAGACCCATCATCCCATCGTGTTTCTGCTGGGCAGCCTTCACCTAAAAAGAAAAGGGGAAGAAATCTGAGTTGAACCTAATTATACTGTTCAATTAAGAAACTGGAAAGTATGCCTGGTGTGGTGGCACATGCCTATAATCCCAGCACTAGGGAGGATCGCTGCAAGTTCGAGGCCACCTAGGCTACAAAGTGAGTTTACGCCCAGCCTGAAGTGCACAGTGAGATCCTGTCTCAAAAAGACAAAAAAAAAAGAAAAAAAGAAGAAATTGTAAAGTAAGTGAAGAGTGATCTGAAGCCACCTGTAATAACATACAACCTCAGTTCCTTTTAGTGACTATCTTCTGGTAGGCTTGCCTTCAGGCTCCAGGTTTACATAAGAATAAAGTAACTACTTTACCACTGTTCACTCATTTCTCCATTCATTCACTTAATCATTCATTTATTTATGTTGGGTACTGAACCCAGGGCCTTGCTCATGGTATATACACATTCTACCACTGAAAAACACCTCTGTCCCTTGAAAAGATCCTGAACTGTTACTATTTCTTATTTATTTTATTAAAGACAAAGAAATTTTCTAGGTTCTAAGTCAGACAAAGTTCAGATTTCACAGATAAGGTCAGAAATTATCATGAAAAGTGACTTTCTAGAAATTAACATGAGTTGGGATCCCCTTATTAAAACAACCATGATAAAGGCTACATCAGACTTTTCACTGAGTAAAGATTATGAAAGTTTAATTTGGAGGTGAGCAAATGAGCTCTTATCAGGTCTTCTCCTGGTACCAGAATCCTGCTCTCAGAGCATTCTTCACAATTTAGTACTTATTTAATTTTCTTTGTAAATAGACTACATCTGTCCATGTGTCTTGCTAACTACTATATCCGTAGCACCTACTATGACATAAGATTTGCAGAAATTACCACCAGAATTTGTTAATGATGTTTTGACCATAGAAGACAATAATATGGGCTGAGACAAGGTTGAGATTTGAAATCCATGTTTCCCACAAATAAGAGATCACTGACTAGTGCAAGGGGTTCTCCAGAAAATCAGCTCATTCACTAGTAATGTGTAATCAGAAGACCCTTTCAAATCATTTTCAAGGGGGAAGAGTTCCTATTAAATTAGCATTCACTTCCTATAGAAAAAGCTATCAGCATTAAACTTAGTGGTAGATTATGATGATAAACTGGGAAAGTTCTGCCTAAACCAAAATATAGTAGAGAATGTTATAGAATGTTGTTTTTATTTTTTTATTTTTTTGGTTTTTCTCCGGTACCAGGAACCGAACTCACGACCTTGCGCTTGCCAGGCAGGCGCTTTGCTGCTGAGCTAAATCCCCAGCCCCTAGGATGTTGTTTTTAATTCCTGGCATGTAGTGAATATGCAGCACTATCAATACTACCTTATTTATTTAGTGTCTTAGTCTGTATGAGCTTCTATAACAAAATTATTATAACAGAACGTAATACACTGAGTGGCTTATACACAACAAAAATTCATTTCTCATAGTTCTAGAGGCTGGAAATTCCAAGCTGAAGGCAAAGTTAGTGCCTACAGAGGGCCTACTTCCTGGCTTCTCAATGGTGTCTTCTCTCTGTGTTCTCACTTGATGGAAGGAGCATAGAAAAAAAAAAATCTCTCTGAAGTTTCCTACACTTTTTATGAGAGCTTTCCTTTATGATCACTTCGCAAAGGCTCCACCTTGGGGGATCAGAGTTCAGCATGTTAATTTTAGAGGAACACAAATATTCAGACCACACCATTAAGGTGCTGTTACTTCAGAGCTCTTTTTTTTTCTGCAGCATATGTGAAGGCTTCTGAAGACCAACTTTTGAGAAAACCAGTGGCCCTGAAAAGATGCTCAAAGGTGCTTGAAACTGAAATTAGTGTTGACATAGCTGAGGGCCATCTACCATTAAGTGATCCGATTGCAAAAATAAATGGATGTAAATTACTAAAACTATCTAATTTATCTTTCTCAGTGAACAACTTATAAAAATACAGGCTTAGTTTTTCTGTGGGTTTGAAATGTTTCCTAGACTGAGTGTGTTTAAATATTAAATATGTTTTCTCTCTCCCCACAATGAGTATGTTTTTGCCTTACTGCCAGTTAATTCCAGTGGAGATGAGAAGCTTTGGGGGTTCAAATCCAGACTTCAAGGTTTGAAACTATAGCATTTCAATCCAGAAACTGTGGTTGCTTGTTAAGTATAATGCGATAGGTACAAAGTCATCACCAAGCTGATTGAAACACAGATACGAAGATATAGTTCATAGTATTTATAAATCAGAAGAAATCTTGCAGACCCTTTCACTTTCCACTTAATATCGTGAAACAGAGAAAGACGCTGTAGCAGCCATTAGCCAAAGATGCTGTAGCAGACCAGGGAAAAAAGGAGACTCAGGATTCCCAGAGCCTAACACAATAATAAACAGAAAGTGGAAAATGGCTTCCTTTGTATTTATGAATGAGACCATTGGCATTTACCTTCCACTGGTGTAAATGTTGTAATCGAGTCAGTCTGACCATGCAGGTAAGGATCCAACTTAATTGTGTGTGTTCAGACACCTAAAGAAATAAGATAGAATGTTAACAAAGGTGATCAATAATTTCTTGAATGTCAGCAAAACTAAAGAGTAATAGGTATTACCTCAAATGGCTGAGAATAACTTTAGTGAAGATTATTAAAATAAGGACAGGTAAAGGGGGTTTAGCTGTGATTCATGATAGAATTTTAGGTAAAGGAGAAATTATAAAAGCCAACCTATACACACACAGTCCAGGTCCTTTCTAATCAGTTTTTACATAGATGAAAACATTACATGTAATAATGCCTTACATGTAAATGGTAGAGATATCACTGAACTTAAAGATTGAATTCTTTAACTCTAGAGAGATTTGAAACTTAGGAACGATCTTATCATCCCATCACTCCAAAGGGTATTTTTATAATTTCTAGTTCTTCCTCTTCCTCCTTCTCCTCTTTTTCTTTCTTTACATTTCCTCTCTTTACATGTTTTTAATAGAAGAGGTCTAGTAGAAAGAAAATATAAACTTTCCCCAATTTGCTTTTGTTTGAATCAAATTTAGTCAAACAACCAAGGCTGGCAACAATTGGCATGATTCTTGGGTCTAAGCCATGGTCTAACTGATGACCTGCAAGTTCAGTTCTATGCATCCCATTTCTGGGTCTTGGGGATTCCTAGCTCTTCATCAACAGTGGCTTTTTTGTGTCCATATGATTTCCTTAAAAAGCAGAGACTGTTGCCAACTCTGCAAAGTGGCCCCAAATGTTTTCTTTGTGGATTTTGCAAAAGAAACATAAAAGAATGAAACTGAACCAGCACTGGCCTATTTCATTGCCATCTGGTGTAACATAGTTTCTTGCTTTTATGCCCCTGAAGTTATAGAGAGAGAAGAGTTGTTTTCCACGTGTTTGACAAGGAATCACTTTTAAAGTTTAGCAAGTTACTAGGCTGAATCTGTCATCTTTCTTCCAAGAGGCATTTGGGTTTCATTGAGGGCAGTGACTTTGACAGCAATGTCCAAGCAAATTGCTAACTGCTGCTATAAACAAACAGATACCAGACAAAAAACGGTAACCCAGGATGTAAGCAAGAGGATTAGAGTTGGTTCCAATCATCAAGCCAAACACATTCCCATTAGAACTAATCCAACAAGGGCTATGTTTTGGCATGAAGAAGTATGTAAGAATTTTTTCCCCTTTTACTGAATTGGGGGATAGGAATGAAAACAAAAAATAACTATGGACGTGGAGAAGAGACAACATGGCTCCTTCCCTTCATCTCTGGTTCAAATGCTTAATATTGGTGATATGCAAAGAGCTACCACTATGTCTCTACTAATAAGCATTTTCCTTGGAGTAGTCTTTCATTAGGGCATAGGGTATGAAACTTAATATTCTGCAGAGATGTTCCTGATATTTCCAAACTAAGGAACATCAAATTAGTTTAAATTATCCTCATACAGAAAAAGTAGGTTAAAAAGTTAAAGGGAAATAATTTTTCATAATTCATCATTTATGATTATATAAGAAAAGTAGTATTTCAAAATTTGGTTATCTTTCTATTCAAGCAGGCAAAAGCAAAAATTGTAGGCATGAAAATATAGTATTTCCTTATGTTGTGAAGTCACAAACAAACAAACATAAGATCTGTGTTATCCACAGAAAAGCAAAGGCAGTGGCCAATAACGTGGATCACTAACCATCCACAAAAAAGTCAGCAGCAATTAGGAGAAAAAAATGAAGTCTTCTGACCCTCTAACTGTTACAAGCGCATTCTTCAGTTCTACTAGTTCTGCCAGTCTTAGTCACTTCTGTTAAACAGAACCTGGCATATTGTATGTGTTCAGTAAATATCTGTCGAATACACTAACTCTACCAAAGCTGCAGAAAGAAAAAGGCCATTAGATTTGGCTGCTGACTTCTTGATCCAGGCAAAAGCAATTTCAAAGGAGTGATTGAGATGGAAGCTAAATTACAATGGGATTAAGAACAAGACTAGAAGATGCTATATAAAGACAGATGTACAAGGAACAAAGCAGAGTGGTTAAGAGTTCTATCTTTGGAGTGAGATTACTTGGGTCTGAATGCTACTTCTGCTATTTATGAGCTGAGAGACTGGGTAAGTGACAACCTGTCTGTGCCTCAGTTTTGCAATTAATAAGGTGAAGTTAACAATACTATTCACTTAACAGTGCTTAGAAAAGTACTTAACACATAGTAAACAGCCAATGTTATTATTATTATTATTATTATTATTGCTATGTAGGTAATTTTCAGAAATACTTTTAATATCCCATTTTGATATAATTATAGATTCACATGCAGTTTTAAGAAATAATATAGAGTCCATGTACCTTTTCCCCACTTTCTCCTAGAGTAACATCTTGAATAAATATAGGTTAATAGCACAATCAGGAAGCTGAATTTGATACAATCCATCTATGCTATTTAGATTTCACCAGTTTTACATGTACTTACTATGTGAGGGTATTTAGTTATATGCAACTTTATCATATGTGTAATACATTTGTTTTTTAAGAATAAGGTAACAAGTAGGAGCTTGTATTAGTTACCTTTCCATTGCTGGGACAAAATAGCTGACACTGATAAATTAAAGGAGGAGAGAAGCTTATGTAGGCTCAAGGTTTCAGGGGTTTCAGTTCATGGTCAGCTGGCTTTAAGAGACAAACTATGGCAGATCATGGTGGAGAAAAGCTGCTCAACTCATGGCATCCAGGAAACAGAAAGCAGAGGAACAGCCAGAGAAAGATGTCCCCTCCAGAGACATGCTTACATTGACCTACTTTCTCCAACAAGACCCCACCTCCTAATTGCACATTCAGCTATGAACTCCCCAATGCATTAACCCAGCAATGAATATAGAAATGCCAGGATATTATCACCTTCTCAAGCCCCAACTCTGAACATATAAGCCTTTATGGAAGACATTTTTTTATCCAAACCATAACAAGGTTAGAGAGTAAAAAGTTTGTTTTTAAGGTTGGATAGATCTACTGCATCATGTTTCAATAGGAAGAGAACTTCTGAGGATATAAGAAAGGAAAATTTGAAGAACAATATCCTCAAATCAAAGTCAACTTCAGATGCTTTCAACACCATTAGTAAGGACAACAGGTTCTCTTCAATGATGAAAGACAGAGATACCGGAGCTGCACTGTGCTTGAGACTCCTTTACACCATTCTTACTCAAAACCATCCCAGCAGGTTTCACCTCACCACAGCACTAAAACTTCTCAGTCATGATCATTCATGCTCACAGCTAAGAAGCTGTCCTCTTCCCTGACATGCTCAGCATCATATGACATAACGGAGCACTTCCTCCACCATGACACATTTTATTCAGATGGAGCCCCCAGACACTGAATGACTGTGGTTTTTCTTGCTAGTTCATCAGTTTCTCTTTTCAGTCTCCTACTGTTTGTACTTTCTCTTGCCCTTGATTTTGTCATATTGCCAACTCTCAGGTTTTAGTGCTTGGTTCTTTACTTCCATTCTTTCTTATACTTGCTTTTTGCAATTTCACGTTAACTCATTGCTTTAAATACAATCCATAAAATAGATGACTTCAGAATTGATACTCCAGCCAGGCTTCTCTGATGAACTCTAGACTCAATGCATCAAATTGTGTATTCAGCATGTATGTGGTTATTACTGGACATCTCGAGCTCAACATATCTGCAACCCAAAGATTCTTCATCTCAAAGTGTAATAAAGATACATTCTTATTTTTAATGGCGTTTAATTTATGAAGGTTTTTCTTTATGTTTAGCAATTTTGAATCTTGTTAAAATCCTTAATGACTAAAGAAAATAAAAAATGCAATTAGCTGTTCAACCCATTGCTCTCCTGCTTGACCCATTGTTCACCTGCCTCTGTGGATGGAAATTCTATTCCGGCTGTAGTTAGGGAAAAACTTTGTGCCATTCTATGCTTTTCTTTTCTCAAATTGCATATCCAATCTAGCTGAAAATATTAGTGCCTCTAATATCAAAATACAGTCAGGACCTCACCACTTTGCACCACTTCTGCTACAACTGGGACCTAGCAAAACCATCACTTTCCTCTGGCATCCTGTAAGAATTTCTTCAGTGGTCTCTGCTTGTGCCCCAGCTCTCCTACAAGCTACTAATAACAGGGCAATTAAGATGTCACAGATTATATCATCTCTTTGTTCAAAATCCTTAACTTACTTTTCATATCCCTAGAGTAAAAGGCCAAGTCCAGTCATGGGCTCTGAAGCCAGGCATGATCATCTCCCTCCATTCAACACGGTCACATCCATGACTCAGATCCCCCTCTGGAATCTCCTCCTTTGCTCCCGTTCTCCTGTGTTCTGGCTTCATGTTCACTGAAAACACTGGAGCATTCCCCTGTCAGAGGATTTGAAATGGCTCCTTTCTCTAACAGAATTTTCTCCCTAAAGATATTGACCTGGTTAACTTCCCCACCTTTGATCAAGTATTATCTCATCACTGGGCTTATCTAGACCATATTATTTGAAATAGCTGTACTCCTAATTCTCCTTAATCATTTTCCTGTATCTCTTATCATCTTCTAGTATACTTTGTGTTTTGCTTATTTATTATGGTTATTTATTTTGTTACTCTAAAAGAATGTAAGTGCCATGGTGGCAAATATTTTGGTATATATGATATAACACGAGTACTTAGCACAATACCGAAGATATAGTAAATGCTCATTAAATATTTGAGAAATAAATGTATGAGTAAAATTAAAGCTTTAGTAATAATAAATGCCTACATAAAATGTGGTACATAATGGAAAATGTGGTGCAATGGCATATGGTATAACAAATAAAAGAAGTGAGACAGATTTACATATACAAACACAGATCACAAAACATACTATTCTATGAGAAAAGAAAATTTAAAAAGTACTATAATCAACCACTTGTAAAAATTTCTAAACAACAAAATAAAAATATTTTATATCCTCCATAGTATCATGAATGTAAAATATGAGCTTCTGAAAATAGATGCAAAAATATGAGCTAGACTGA